CAAATACGGATGACAAGTTTTTCATGAGAACTACATAGCCAATATTCAATAAATAGTACATAGTCGGGTAAAGTAAATGTTCCTCCCCAAAACATTACGTTAAATTAAAGTTTAACACATATACATTGTACAAGATAAAATCTTATTGTTTTGATATAATATACATTGAATTAAAGTTCCACCAAGGATTTACAACTTTGCTATAATATTCCTAAGTAAATGGATCTCAGATGATTAGTGCAAACTTCAATACAATTCATATTTTCCTATGCATTAGTTGTCGAACAACCTTTTAAGAAATTGTAAGCTGGTTTATAGTGCTAGATAGAGTGATAGGGCAAATCTAGCCATGCTTTCACTATTGATAACTATGACAACATAAAGATACTAATGGGTATCGCTTGTCCCATATGTTAAGACTACTTTCGTGTGGTGAAAGTAAAACATGAAAGTAATGGATCGATCAATTGGGTCTTGGCCCAAAATGCACTCAGCACTAGCACAAAATCTCACCATCATTCCGCCACTTCCTTCGATCTTACTCGCCAAATGCTTAGTCCTCATAGCTTCACCTGTTGCCAAAGACAATAGTTTTCCTTGATGGTTTGTGGGGTCGATTGATTGATCCAGGCGGTCAATGGAGGGTTGCACTAGGCATCGGCTGGGCGAGGCGAGTGACGCTCGCCTCGCACGATCTTAGATTAGCTCACGTGATTGGTTGGATTCAGAACGGGTCGTCACTCCCTTGCATGCCTCCGAGACGAAGCCCGCCACCCCGCCACCATGCATAGACGTTGTTGGCAGTTGACACATACGTCTCCAAATCCAGCAACCGTCTATCGACATACCAGCCCCCCCGTCCCAGCTTGCAGAAGAGCAGCCATTGTCTCGGCAGTCTTGACCGACACCCACAACGATGCTCTGGTGACCTTGCAACATTAGTGTCCCCCCCTTGCAGCACCGTGCCGGTCCTGTGAAGCGACGGTAGCGCCGCCTTGCACCAGCTCAGTCGAGCTTGCAGCACCAATGGCGAGCGATGGTCCAGTGGCCAACCTTGCAATACTTAGCATTAGCCTATGCGATGGCGGTAGTGACTGCAACAATAGGTGGTTGTCAAGGCAACGGTGAATGGCAGCAAAATCTTGCACGTGCAACAGTGGCTGCTGACTTTTTTCATAATGGGTGTATTTTATTGACTCATAACATCGCATCAAGAGAATACAAGTATCATTATATATTGACGACCTAGATACACGTAACACGTGCAGGACTTATAAACTGAGATGGAGGGAGTAGTGCCCTTCTATTTCCACTCTTTCTTAGATTATCCTATTGCATGCAAACTAATTTACCATTTTGAATATTTGGACTATGCTATGTACGATAAGAAGTAGATCCGCCACATACTCTTGTTTCTATTCTAAAATCCTACCTACAGAAAGAAGCTCTCTTCTGGAGGAAGAAAATACATCCCTGCTTGAGTGCCTATACTATTGCAGGCAATCTTCGTAGGTTGAGGTGTTTGAATAGCCTTTGATCCTAGGAGGTGATAATCCAATATGCACATTACCGGGCAAACTAAAAATACATAGTTTTACAGATTAATCTTCCAAACCGTACAGATTAACTAGGTATGCACCACATGATTTGAGGTTACTTTCATTTCTATTCCTTTAAGCTACTATTTACAATTATTGCTATCACTCATTGGAATAATTAATAACCATGAAATTTGCAATGGCTAGAAACCTAAGAACTAAAAGATGTCCTTGATCTGGCTTGTTCCTTTTCTCTTTTGTAGTACACAGTGGTACAATTATATATGGCAACTGTAGAAGTATTCATTTTACTCTCAAACTTATAATTTTACTTTAAGAAATTAGTAGTGGATGCAGCAACAAAGGTGGTGTTGGTCCCTAGACCCCTACAAATTCTTCCAAGTACAGAAGGTATTGCAGTAGAAACAACAATTGTTGATTAGAGCTTGTACACATTGTAAGAAAATATTTAATTTCATTCGACTGGTATGCAGGTAGATGAAATTAAACTTTCCTTTATTGCCAATGAGTTATTGTTGTGTATTTTTACATGCCGACAGTTGAAATGTGATAATAATTTTTGCATGTCTAACACATAGTTTATTCATCTATTGGAAAAAGCACCAAGAATGTTGTGTGCAGAGATGTCTTGGAGGGACAACACAGGTTTGTTTTCCGTACATGCCAATCCATCTTATTATATTATTAGGATATATTACTGATCTCCTTTAATATTTATTTTTTATAATTTATATGCACATTATGGATATAATGGTGAGCTGTTCTATTAGGATAATTTAAACTAGGGAGCTTTTTAATAAATAATATAGTATAAAGATGGTACTGATGGAGGCTTTGCAACTAGGAAGGTACTCTGTTTACTATCTGATTGTGATATTTCTTAAAAGATATATGGATGTTGTACTCTCCCAGACAATATAAAGCATGGTTCTATATGCTCATCTAATTTGGTAACTTTCAATGTTCTGTGGGGCCTTTCACCTCAACTGTAGGGATTTTACCTAAAGGTTCATTGCTCATTTTTCTCTGTGTGTGATTCTAGCTATTTTACTTCATTTATGTGAATAAGATTTGCACTGGTGTATGTATTTTACTATAAGTAAGCATTTGCTACAGCAGGTCACAGTTGGTGCAGTTTCTTTGTTGATATACTAACAAGTTATCCTGTGCGATTTCTTGACTGTTTGGCACCATGTTCGCGTGCAAGATGTGTGGATGCCGTCGAACGGGAGGACTCCCAGGGAGGCACAGCCTCCAGGGGCATCTCCTTCAATTGGCAGCCGCTTCCATTTGCCACCAGTGAACAGCAGACGCGTCACGGCATCATTCACTTGCCTATCATAGATTGACTGTTGATGCGGCGCTCCGCTCCACTACTCCATGCCATTCTGTATATTTCCTCTCTTTATATCCAGATATCCACAACAAACACCAACTACACAAGCACACACTAGTTGGGGGACTTGCTTCGCCGAACAAGCCGCTCTTCCATCAGTGCCAGAAAAGAAGTCACGAGGCACTCCCCCGAGGCAATGAAGAGACAAGCATTACACATGCCTGCAATAGTTGCAACCCACGACAGAAGGTCCATGTCGTCAAAGATGGAAAGCTCTCAAGGCCGCCGCCCCGACATCCATTGCTCCAACACGTCTTGCGCGTACAATCGATATTGTTTCCGGGGTCGTCGCCCAGACATACTATTGCAGAGACGTGCGTTGCATGTGCATGTTTACTAGTCTATATCTATATCTATACCTACTAATAAAGCAATGTGTGTTTCACCAATTTTTTCATCCGTTCACCATTGAAAAGATTTTTTTTTCTATCCAAGGTGGTACTAAATTTTTATGTGTTTGTATGCTAGAGAAAAAAAGGCTTTCCAGAATTTCGTACGTGGGCCGAGTGTTCTGGCCCAGCGAAGACAGCTCAGTTATTTTTCTGCCCACGCAGCTAGAAAAACTCTATTTTCCGCACAGGGCGACAAGTAGTCAGACCTTCGCACAGGACAACCAATAATGGGCTGGCCCATTTTTCTTTTTTTTCCTTGTTTTACTTCTATATCTATTCTCCTTTCACTGTCTCTTTTCCCTTCCAAGTTTACTTTCTTATAAATTTTATTTCATAAATTCAAAAATCTCAAAAAATGTTCAGATTTTTATTAAAAAATCAATTTTTAGAAAATGTTCAGAATTCCTAAATTTTATTGATATTTTGAAAAATATTCGGAACTTTAAATTTGTCTCCCATTTTTCCAAAAAAAATATTGTTTTCCAAAATTGTTTGATATTTCTAAAAAGAATTGAAATTTGAAAAAATTCTATAAATTCAAAAAATATTCGTATTTTAGTGAAAATTTCACACTTCAAAATAATGTTTGCATATGAAAGATATACAGCGTTTTGTTTGCACATATAATTCTCACTAACTTTAAAAGCATATTAGTTTTTCTCCCGTTGCAACGCACGGACATATGTGCTAGTAGTAGTCAAAAAGCTGATAAGGGTAGAATTGGGCTCCGAGAACAAACTTTGCCTGGGTGCTTCCTGGGTCCTACGCAGCCTGCCATCAATGTTGCTTCTTGGAGAAGGCCTATAGCCCAAAACCTCAAGCGTGGATCGGCGTTGCGCCGCCGCTGGCTGGCCGGTGTGTGCCCCCAATTCCCCGCACTATCTCCCACCGCGCTCGCTCCCTTGCCGGCGCACGCTGCAGTGTGTGGCTGCCGTCACGGGCTCACGGCCCGCGCAGAGAAGAGCATGGCCTCTCGCCGCGGCATCTCCTGGGGCGTGGATCTCCGCCGCGACGGGTGAGATCACCAACCAACCGCTACGGACCTGCTCGGCGGCTACGGCGGCGAATGAGGGGCAGCGGAGGCGATGTTGTCTGAGAAGCGACGCAAACCCTCGGCTCGCCAGCGGAGTGAGAGGAATATGCGCGCGGAGTTGGGCAGTGGTCGCCGGTGAGGTTGCGCGCGCGTCAAGAAAAAGCACGGCGCTACTTGATTGAGTGGATACAATCTACGGTGAGGACCAAGCAAGTAACTGTGCGCCTTCCGCTTCTACGATTAATCTGCTTGCTATGAATTGGTATATAACGTCACAATGTTTAGATGGATATACATTGTCTGCATCCAGATTCTGATATTTTAGGTACTGTAGTTACAGGCAAGAGGGCCTTGGTGGCTGTCTGTCTCCGATGCCTTTTAGCAGTTCGAACACAACACTCATCAGAATTAATTTTATTCCTTCTGTGGTATATAACTTAGGACGCTGGCATGTGGATGCTCTTGACTCTAGGTCATGGATACATCATACATGGAATATGTTCTACTACAATGCCGAATTTTGCTGCGCTTGTTCAATTTCTGAATGTATTCTAGTACAGGCCACCTTCTCACGGTTCTGGAAATGAATGTAGGCTCTTTGATTCACAAGGCCTATCTGCTCAAAGAGTTGGCGATTGTTGTACAAATTTTGAATTCACAAGGCTGATCTCCTCAGATCTGGTAGAACTTGAACTTTGTACATCCATATTGTGAGCTGAACTTTCACTGGAATGAGAGACGTGTAGGTTAAGTTATTGCATAATCATAATTGCACAGAAAAACAAAGGGACAAAAATACGGGAGAAATTTCTTACAGCAATCCAGAAAAGTTTTGCTTCGGTGGCATATCCATGTCATCTGAGCTTCTCTCGAACATTTCTAGAACTTTGGTTATGGTAGGGCGATATGCAGGCAGTATTTGTACGCACCACAAACCAATTAAGGTCATCTTTCTTGCGATTTCCTCAATTTCTCCTGTGACTTCACATGCTTGTAATCCATCATCTTGCGCAAAGTGGTCGTAAATCCAGTCTGGAAAATACTTTTCGCTGGATTTTGCAACAATTGATTTTACATTTCTCCTGCCTCCAACCATTTCCAAAAGCATCATTCCATAACTATAAACATCTGACTTCGTTGAAACCACTCCGAATGTTCGAGAGTGAACTTCTGGAGCGATGAACCCAATTGTTCCTCTAGCACCAGTCATTGAAAGCTTGCTCTCCTTTGTATGACACAATTTAGCTAGACCAAAATCGGCAATCTTTGGGCTAAAATCTTTATCTAGAAGGATATTTTGGGGCTTGATATCAAAGTGGACAATGCGTGTATTACAGCTATGGTGAAAGTATTCGAGGCCACGAGCAATCCCGATTGCTATAGTATAGAGCCTCTCCCATCCTAAAATTTCTTTGGGGTTCTCTGAGTAAATGTACTTGTCCAAGGAACCATTGGGCATGTACTCATATATAAGAGCTCGTTTTGATCCCTCCAAACAGAACCCAAATAAGCTAACAACATTAACATGAGAGGTCCTGCCAATGCTCATAACCTCATTCACAAACTCGTCCCCATTTCCTTTGCAGTCATGCAAAAATTTCACAGCAACTAGACGACCATCGTGTAGTCTTCCTTTGAAAACCACACCATAGCCACCTTTACCAAGCTGATCATTACGATAAGAAGTTATCTTCATTACCTCTGAGTACATGTATCTTTTTGGAGCTAGGGATCCATATGATACTATCATTGCCTCGTAATTCTTCTCAGTGTTGCTGCTAGCCTTCTTGCAAAGGAGAAACCATAGTCTTTTCCCTTTTCTATGCCATATCAGCACATAAAGACATGCACAGAGAAAGGTTGCAGCAGCTGATGTAGTACCTGAGATGGGAGCAGTTGTTATTTTCTTTTGTAAACCAGAAGTTATACTACATTCATAATGATTTCCAGACCATCAATACTTTAAATTTCTCTTTCTGCAAGAGTACATGGTTGCAAAACTAGTACTACATATGAAAAGATGGCCAAAAAATTAGCGTACCTATTAGCATAATCTTCTTCCCTCTCCTCTCACTACCTGGAATGTAACATAACATTTATGAGTAAAAACAGTGTCACCCAATAGTATTACATTGGTTATTTTTCCATAAGGAAGAGACAAGCATCGCATATGAATATTTAATATTCTGCTGAAGAAATATAAAAAAACATTGCAAGATAGTGAAGAACAGTAGAACATGTGCTACCTATCTGACTTCCTTTTGATAGAGCAGCTATTTTGATCGAATACAGATTCAATAAATAAAAGTAGTTATAGGCTTTGTGCAGATTTAATAATCAATATGAGTGAGCACATAAACTGTGATCTATAAGTATGTTTAAATGGCATTGCATGGGATGGTGCATTTCAATCTACATGCAGGAAAATGCATGCTCTGTTAATTTTCCCTGCAAATATCCTATTTACAAGCAGCATGAACCAGTGTGGCTAAACCGAAGATTGAATGCTTATGCTACAGAACTAGACCAGCGGCGTGCGTTCTGTTGGGTTTACACTAGTCAGGCATTTTGGTATCCATAGTTTAGTAATTAGCAGGTACGGGCATGCTTTTCTTAGAATTAAGGAGGTCCAACTCCCAATTTCATTTATTCAATGAAACTGAAAAAACATAGTTTTGTGATGGACTCAAAAGGTTCAATCAAGTATTACATCCTCAGCCAAAATCTTTTCCAGACCCCATAATCAGTGCTGCAACTTACACATATGAGCTTAAAATGGTCATACAAAAGACCTCACAAACACGATCAGAACCCCCTAACTAAAAAAACAGAGTAAACCAGCCATACTAGTAGGAGATATATGGAAGCCACTTACATCTAGGAGGTACGCGCATGTTGTGTTCATTTTTCTTGTAAATCCCCTTAACATAGTGCGCCAAAATTGAATACTAGTTAATCTACAGAAGCGGTTTGTCTTATTTTACGATCAAACTCACTGTCACTATATATATGTGAACTCTGCCCGCAGATGATGGACAAAGACACGCTGCTGGAGCAGTGGCACTTGAAGATATCATAGGCGATATTGATCTTGCAAATTCTCCATGTCCGCTTTGCAGCGGCCGGCCATGCACTCAAG